GTTTTATTAAGCATTTCAAACTAGGCATCAACCAAATCACACTTGAAATATCTGTGTCTAGAGAAATAACAATCACTTTATCAGCTCCTATAATAATTCTTAGAGTTCTGACACTGAAGAGTTCCTTAAAGACCAAGCAATATATCCCAACACATCTAAAGGTTCTGCATTTTACCTAAACCTTACAAATTGTGGAATTATCTGCTTTTTAAACATCAGCACCTGCCTTGTTAAAAGCTAAGTAGCCCCTAAGCTCTTGTCCTCACTAATAAAGATTAACAAAATAAATAGAAGCTGCGTGTGCCCCTTCAAATCACTTATTTTATTTTTTGTTGAGTAGGTAAGAGCAAATAGAATGTATTTGACAATTAGCAATGTTAAAAGACAAACTTCAGACAAATTAAGTATAGCAGAGTTTATTTGAGAAAAAAAAAAAAAAAGTCATGAACCAAGCATCACTGAGAATAGTTTCAGAGAGCTCCACCTAGCAACAGTGGGCAGGCAGTATTTATAGACATAAAAAGGAAGTGACATACAGAAACAGCTTGACTGGTTACAGCTTAAAATTTGCCTTATTTGGGCATGGTGTAATGAAACATTTGCCTTATATGGACATGATCTGATCAGTTGGCAGCCTGTGATTGGCTGAAGCTTAGCTGCTGTGATTGGCTGAAACTCATCTATTTGTTACAAAAATGTACTTTTAAGTTAGGTTGCATTTTGCTTACATATTAAGGTAGGTTGCAGTTTGCAATGTACAGAGGCAGTTTTAGGTATAATTTAATTTAAATTCTTATCCAACAAAAATTTGTAATTTCCATTTCCCATGTCTAAATATGACAGCTCAAGTTATGTTTTTCAGCAGAGTTTTATACTTTTGCATTTTAATTTCCACATATGCAAAACAAGAAGGTTGACCTGAAAACAAACTATAATCTGTGTGGTTCCTTCCAACCCTATCAACCTATGATAGAACCAGGAAAAAAAATATTACAAATACAAAGAAGCATTTTCAGGACAAGACATTCAGAATATAGACATAAGTTAATTATTTAGAAATATTTGGTGTACACTCATGAAAATAAAATAGGGCAGCTGCTTTCAACAAATGTATTAGAAATATGTCTTGAAAACATTTCACAAGCTTAACACGGTCAAATAAAATATTTTCTGAGTTCACATTGTTTCATTACACTTAAAACTTCAAAATCATGCCAATGACAAATATCACCTTTACCCTATAGAGACACAAGTAACATTTGGGGCATATCAGAAATGTTTAATAAATTCTTTATCAAAAAATGTTTCCTGGAGCTCACCTGCAGAGTTGTGAAGTTTCTTGTTAAAAGCACAGATTCTTGTTAGAAGTACAGGAATTCTGGGGGTCGCACCTAGCAATCTGGAATCTAAACAAGCTACTCAAACATTTCTTATGCACTCTAAATTTGAGACCCAAAGCTTTAGACTGAATACCTTTGTGCATGTTGTTTGCAATAAGAAACCATTCTCTGGCTGTCCTTCACCTCTCTAGAGTTTACCCAATGTCCTCTCTTTTTTTATGAGCCTTTTGCTTGTGTTTTGTCCTCACATCACATCTTTTCTTTCACTCTTGGGCTTTAAGAGGGGGAAAAAAGGAAATAATTTGTTATGTAGTTAAGATGATTAAACATTCTAAAATTTTACCTAGCTTTATGCCTTAGGAAAAGTCGGGCCTGGATATGTGAGAGCTTGTCATCTTCTGTGGTTCTAGGTCTTTCTTCTGCTGCTCTATTAGCTCTCTTGTTTATCCTCTGCCCCTGGCTTCTAATAACCTCTCTCTCTCTCTCTCTCTCTCTCTCTCTCTCTCTCTCTCTCTCATGCTATTAAGTTTCTCTTAGATCCTTTGGAACTGAATTCCCTAGATCTCAGAGGTATTTTTTTTCTCTTAGGGGATACAAAGGGGTTCATTGACCCACTAATGATCAGCCTGCAGCATTTAACCTAGAACTGGGGTTGTAGCACTGCCTTATGTAAACAAAGCAACAACTTGAGGTCTCACTGCAGGCAGCCTGTCCTTCACTGCATCTTTCTCTAGACTTTCCCACCACAGGAATATTTGTCCCCTCTACCTTGTAGAGAGAGGACAAGCATTAGACATCTTTATATATCCCCTTCCCTCCCCTGTCCTCCCCTCCTCCTCCCCCTTCTCCCCTCTCCCTCTCCTCCCCTCTCCCTTCCCTTCCCTCCTTTCTCCATCCCTTCCCTTCACCTCTACCTACTCTCCAATGCCTCAGTAAGACTTAGAGATACTCAATACATATTTATTTATCGGTGTCTCTTCTGCCATTTACTTATTTTCCATGTCTGGACTCTGCCTCTCTCAGCCTACATTTCAAAATATCCTGCTTGACAGCCTCTTTTATCCTCAAGGGGACCAAGCTGGGAATTTCAGACACCCCAGGGAATCCCTGTAAACAGTACTCATTACATGTCATTAAACAGCTAAAATCTTGCACAGGGAATTCTCAGGCTTATCATGGCAAAGTGATAACTGAAAAGAGGAGGAAACAGAAATATAAAAGAACTGACCTCTACACTGCATGCAATCTGCATGCACTATTATATTTAATTCATGACATTTATGACATTTCATGATTCATTTATTAGAAAATATTTCCCTCCTGGTATATTCTGAGAAGGGGGATTGCTGGGTCGTATGGAAGGTCGATTTTTAGATCTTTGAAGAATGGCCCCACATCTTTAAAAATACCTAACCCTGAATTGTACCCCACATCTTTATAATAAAAATAATAATAATAATAAAATAAAATAAAGAAAAAATACCCATAGAGTCCTGAACAATTTAATTTATCACATTTGATGGAAAGCCTTCATTTTTCTGAATAAACTATTTATACTGTGCTTTAGGGGAAGAAAATGTTGACAATTTGAAGAAGTATGGAGATGAAGAAATAAATCACCCAATAATCTACCTGTAAGGGATAATCTTGCTGTCATTCCAGAATGTTTTCACGCATAGTCAAACATATACACACAGAAATATTTTAGAAAAATTTAAAAAAAGATGGTGTTCATTTTTGTAACCTGTTTTCTCAGGTTAGCAACTGACATCATGACCTTTTCCATAACATTTGCCTATGTCATCATATTGAACATTGAATAGCATTCTATTGTATAAATTCACCATTATACATGTATCCAACTTTTTAGTATTTTCAAATTAAGAGACATTTCATTCAATTCATATATAAATGCCATGAATTTTTACATTTAAAGTATATACATGTTTCATTGCATTTGAAAAGAAATGAGTAGGCTGGATTTTTGCATCTCTCAAGCAATTTCCTAGTATTGAATATTTAAGTCGTTTCTACTTTGTATCAATCACAAATCATGCTATAAAAAACATTTTTCTACTTACATCTTTGAATAATTTCCAGTTACTTTCTTAGTATAAATTCCTTGAATTTAACCTTGTGGGTCACTATATTTGCACATTTTAAAGACTTTTATGTATCATCAAATTATCCTTCTGAAAGTTTGGAACAATTTAATTTCAGTAGATAAGTATTCTTCAGTGATTCTGTTTGACTAAGGCCAGAAGGCGAATTGTATTTGAAATGTCAGGATAAGTTACCAAATAGCTAAGGGAAATGTTGTTTTACCTGGTTGCTCTGCTTTACATTTCCATCTTTGCAGCTTTAAAGACGTTGTTATATTTATGTCATAGGCAACATTAATTATTAATAATTAATAGTAATTACTGATAATATATGAATGATGCAGCATAATTCCTAATTTACCTAGGATGAAACTTTGCTAACATCCTGCCTTTCTTCTTTGTTTTATGGACAATGATATATTTTATTAACATAACTTCTCATCCTCAAGTAAAATGCAGATTTTATTGTACAGATCCTTCATTTGTATATTCTTTTTTTTTTTTTCTTTTTTTTTGAGTTGGAGTCTCACTCTGTCACCCAGACTGGAGTGCAGTGGCCGCTCCCGGCCACCGCAGCCTCGACCTGCTGGGCTACGGCGATCCCTCCGCCTCAGCCTTCCGAGTAGAGCCAGAACTACAGGCGCGCGCTACCACGCCCGGCTCATTTTTGGATTTATTGTAGAGATGAGGTCTCGCTGCCCAGGCGGGTCTCGAACCCGCGGGCTCAGGCAATCCACTCACCTCGGCCTCCCAAAGGCGCAGGATTACAGGCTGAGCCACCGAGCCCGGCCATTTGTATATTCTTAAACGACTTCTAAGGATTAACATGTTCTAAATACAGTTGATGGTAAAGCACTCAGTCTCCTGCCTAAATTATTCATGTTTGGAAGAAGCTTTCAGACAAATGTCTGATTTTACTCTTCCATGTGAGTTGTTGTCTTAGAAGTTTTTACACAAAGGAAACAAAGCGGAAAATGTTGGAACTTGGTGAAAACAAATCCCAGGTGCACACGAATAAAGAAGGGTAGAGGAAAAGGAGAAGCAATATGGGAAGAGAAGTAGAAAGGAATAGACGCCAGATGGAAGGAGTTAATGGAAAAGGCTGCCTAGGGTGTAGAATTGGAAAAGTCAAGATGTGGGGAAAGACCTTTGCATTTCTCAAAGCAGAAAGAATTCCAGTACTAGCATGAGCCACATGAAAATGCAGTGTTTTTTATTAGTCACTGGGTCCAGTTTTTTCTACCAGAAACTTTAAGAATCATTGACTGCAGCAGTATGGGAAAGCAATCGATTCTAGAGTGCATGTCATGCCAAAAATCACAGAATTCTGCATATGGAAATAAGCATATGACTAAACACTGCCTTTTCTCAAAATTACCAACAGAATACTCCCCTATTTTTATGGTTCTCAAAAGCAGGTAATGAGATCTTTATTGAAGACTGCTATGTAGTTCACAATACGTTTATATACTGTGGAACTAACCAACTAATGGAACTATTAGAATCATTAATTTTACTTCTAGATATTCTGACATGGTTTGCTCCTGTTGTTTTGCAGATCCCATTTGGAAGCCAGCTCTGACCAGTGGAAACGTCTGCACCTTTCTCTTCAGGAACTTCTGGTGTGGCTACAACTGAAAGATGATGAATTAAGTCGGCAGGCACCTATTGGAGGCGATTTTCCAGCAGTTCAGAAGCAGAATGATGTACACAGGGTATGACATTTTTAAGCCTAGTGCCTTGCACATAGTAAGCATTCAGTGACTATTTTTAAATTCGTTTTTTTGAAATTAAATTGAGTAGAAATATATTTTATTTACCTCATCTAAGGGTCAATTATAAGTAATCCAAGCCATCATATTGTAAATGTCAAAAGCATCTCCATTAATAATACCCTTTAAGAAGTTGCTCATCTCTTTTGGCTATTTTTTAAAACTTTTCATTATGGAAAATATTAGACACACACAAAAGTAGACAGAATTTTCTAATAAATACCCACATACCCATCAAGATATCAAGAGTCATCAATTCATGACCAATCGTATTTTTTCTATAGCTCTGCTCCTTCCTCCATTATTTTGAAGCAAATCTCAGGCATGTATCATTTTGTTTATACATATTGGTAAAAGTTAAAAAATAAGGATTCACTCTTTTAAGTTAACCACAGTGCTACTATAATACTTTTAAAATATCAATAATTTTATCACATCAAATACCCAGTCAGTATTCAAATGTTAATTTCTGTCATATATTTAAAAAATATTTTCTGTTTTCAGTGAAAATAATTGAAATAAGGTCTACAGCTTACACCTGGTTAATTTTTCTTTTAAATCCACTCTTTTTGTTACTTTTTATTTTGAAATAATTATAGTTGCACAGTAAGTTACAAAAATAGTACAAAGTTTACCTGCATCTTTCACCCCATTTTCTCTAATGGTTAACATTTTACAGAATGGTAGTACAAATGATACCGTCATTTCAACATGTGATCAGTATAAAAAATGTACATTTTCAGCACATCTCAAGTCAGGCTGGCTACATTCCAAGTACTCAGTAGCCAGATGTGGTTAGTAGCTGACTATTGTGCAGTTCTACAGGTTTGATTATATTTGGGTTTGGCTTTGTTGTGGTGGTAGTTATTGTGGGGTTTTTTTTGGGGGGGGTAAAACTGCTTCATAGGTGTTAGTGTATTCTTTCATTATCAGGAGATGCTACATACTACCTTGTTTTATTTGTGTGTGTGTGTGTGTGTGTGTGTGTGTGTGTGTGTGTGTGTGATTTTTAGCAGTCATTAATGATCAGTGGTCAAGGATTACAATGTCATAATTGCCTATCTCTATGATTCCTTCATTTATTTGCTATAGTAAGTCTATGAAAGAAAATGTTTTGCATTCATCCACTATTTGGGTACTCAGTATACCATTCATATAGGATAAGCAAGACGGATGTTTCTCCTTTACTGGTTTTCACAATAAGAATAACGAGTTGTTCACTAGCATCTTCCAACAATGACCAATTGTTACTTGTTTGTTTTGTGTTCGTTTATATTTCTATCTTCTCTACTAGGCTCTGAATAAAAAAGGCAGAGATTTGGTCTTGCTCATCTCCAAGACCGTAGAGCCTAACAAAGTGTTTTTGAAAATAGGATAAAAGGTACATGAACAGAAGTGTTTATCAAACCAAATAAATTACTACCAAATAATAAAAACTTGATAAAATGTATCTCTTTTGTATATTCATTTAAAGGAATGATGTCTATGGAGACACAGCCAAAAGTGGCATCTTGAGGAAAGGTAAAGAGTTTATATTAATTAAGTGAAGAGGTTAAAGAAAATTACAAAAAGAGGAGACAACATGAGAGAAGACTCAGGAGTCTTTGCAAAAAAATGTCAAGAAACTGTCAGTCTCTCCTTTAGCCTTTTGCCTTCATATAATTCAGAATATAAAGTTAGTTTTTGATGTAGAATGAAATTTAATGCGCTATATGCTTTAAATGTTCTAACTTATGTGAATAAACAATGAAGTCACTTTGATGTATATGTGAAAGGCCATTCATTGATAAGGATGGGCATTTTAAATAGAATTCATTATATGATATAGTGAAATGAGACAGAATTCCTACAAAAGATACATTTTCTTCTAGTTCCAGAAACCTAAGAAAATGAATCATTGGGCATGTGCACTAAGAGTCAGGAGACTGAAATTCTAGTCATATCCCTCCATAAATTAGATTGTGATTGCTACTTTGTTCTTCAGCTGGAAGATCAGGAAATTGTCCCAAATAATTGTCATGGTTCCTTCCAGTCAGTATTTTGTTATAAGAACTGCTTCACTATCCGTGGTTATTGGTTTTGGTTGCTTGCTAATAGAGGTAAAGTGTTTATACTTATCATTCTCAGTCTTTACTCAGGAATATCATGACAAATAACATGATTTGGGGAGATGATTATGCTAGGGTTATGAGTAATAAAAGAATGAAGTTAATGAAGTTGGCTAGTATGCTTGCTCAGATACCTACCCATTACCTTTCTTGAACTTATTTATAACTCTCCTCCATCCTTACCTCCTTCCAAATACAACTTATATTCAATCACCAAACATTTCAATAATTCTTTTTTCAGAACCCTAAAATCCTTTTATTTCTTTTCTTTTTTTTTTTTTTTTTTGGTTTTTCTGTTGCTGCAATCTACAAAACCCTAAAACTTGGAAACTCAAACTAAATATTTTCTCTTAGCCAGACAACACCATAATAGACTGCTACAGTATCATTTCAGGATGGCCAACTTTCAGCTTTCTGCTGCTCACATATCACTGGCTCAATTTACCTCCAAAATGTTTTTGACTCTGTCTACTGCTGTCATCATCGTAGTTACAAGAGACCATTTTTCCTAGCCTTTCTTCATCTACTCTTGCCACTCCACAATGCGATTTCTACATTTCCATCTGAGTAATCTGTGTAAAAACATAAATTGAATTATACCGGTTCTCATCTTAACACTCTGTGGTAGTCTCTCAATGCTCTTAGAAAAAGACCTAAATCCTCAACAAGGACCACAAAGCATTATCTGGCTAGTCTAGCATCAACCTTATATTTTCTTACTGCTTTGCCTTGGACATCAGCCATACTGGCTCATTTTGTTTTTTCTTATTCTCCATGTTTTGTTTTGTTTTTTTTTTTTTTTTCAGAACAGGTTTTAAACATGCTGGTTCTCTGTCTCAAAACCTTTCTACTCATACCTTCCCCTTCACAATGCCCTGGTTATAATCGGATAGTCCTTCATTTCTTGGGTCAGATATTATGCAAACTTCTCTTGGACGCCTACATTCGACCAGATCTCCCTTTTTTATGCTTTCCTAACACCATCTACAGTTTCTTCTGTAACTTAACATTTTTGTCATCATGTATATGTATGACTATTTGATTAATGTCAACCATTCTCACTAAACCATATGCTCCAATAAACTTTTTATTGTGGTGCGGGGAGGAGACAAAGTGTTATTTTTATACCCAGCACCTTATAAAGTGCCTAGTACATAGTAGGCCCTGAATAGATAAAGGAACGAAGAAGTCAAAGAAGAAAGTTAAGGCAGTAGGAAGAAAGGAAAAAACAGCCAATCAACAGATATTATTTTTCTTTCTTCTCTAGTTTACTAAGACCAAGGGCAGGGAAAGAAAGAATAGAGAGTGATGTTCCTTTCCTACTTGCAGGAGTTTTCTGTTTATTCCCAACTAAGCATCATCCTTTTGTAAAGTGTATAGAGTTACTTTGATTCCCACTGTTTTCACCTGTGATCTGTCCATGAAGTTTTTGCAAACTTCTCTTGATATCTTTAAGAAAAATCCTAGACACAAAACACGCTTCTTCCTCAAAGAACATCTTCACATCTTAGTGTTGATAAGAGAATAATTTAGCATCCCATTTTACTCAGTTTTGTCACAAGTATGCAGTAGCCCTTTCGTAGTTGTCATGGAAGGATTGTCTAGGTAGTGATACTCTGGTGGTCTGTGGACAAAAGAACGAAGGACAATCCTTGAAACTGGGGTCTCTCTATAGGATCTTCTGAACTCCATTAGGAAAAGAGAAAGAAACACAATCCGTACAAAACTCTGTCAACATCTAAAAGTTGACTGTTTTTGTATTTGTAGACTTTTATTTTACTTTGCCATGTTTCCTGGATTGCAAATGGTCTTGCTCTTTATGGGTTTCTTGATCTAATTGTTGTTTGTATAGAATGCTTGGTTTCAAGATGGGTCACTGTAATCATAAGCTTATTCCCCATGTATTTGGGGTGTCACTTTAAAAAAAATCATCCGCTTACTACCTATTGTAAATTATTAATGCCCTTGGTTGTTGTTTCTTACGGGACTACAAATCCTATTAAAATGTCAAAATTTGAAACTACAATCAAATGCTGTTCATTTTCACTTTCATTTTCTATAAATCAAAATGTTTATAAAACAGGTAATTTATATGTTTTTGTTTGTATATTATTTCAGATTAATGATAACATTTTGTAGCAAGATATCATATACCTTGTTCTTATAGGGAAAATATATAGTGAGTCTCAGTTGCTGTGATGACGAATGTATGATTTTCCTGTAGCTAAAATTCTAAGATAGTCTACACAGGTAGTTGGGGACTGTAGTCTCACTCCTCAAAGCAATTTTCATACCCATGGGAGTGGATCTGTGTTCCCCAAACCAGCTGGGCAGCGTAACAACTGCAACAAAATGGCTCTCAAAACTAATTAATAAAATAATACTCTATATGCAGTGAAGTATTATAAATAATTAAAGCTCAAATGTGCCTTAGCAAATATAAACTGACCAATTTTTATATCTTTTGAATACATTATCTTGGCTTTTACAATTCCTCATTACTTGCCTCACTAGACTGACTCGTTTTCAATTAGTGTGTATTATTCTGGTCCAGATATATTTTTAAAACTGACTTCCTTTGTTTTACTTGAGCAGTCACTAAAGTGATATTTATTACTTGTCTACTCCTGTGATTAACCTAGAGAGAGTTTTAAAGGAACAAATCATAGTGGGGAATTTCTAAGGAGAACTGCAATAAACCATGAGCTTATTTAATTCCCTTCCTTCTACACCAAATCCAGATGGAGATTAGGTCTTGATTATAAGAACACTGTAAGTAATAACTTTTTGTTTGCATTTTTACTAATGAAATTGTTTGCCATTAGGTTTTCATCT